GTCTGGACCAGTGAGGGTCTGAGCTCTTCAGCACCTACAGATGACACCATCCTGCTGCACAGAGATGGAGGTTTGAAATAGTTGTTGATCTGTGAATCTGCACTACCGTAAGTCACTTTTTGTAATAGTATGAACGAGAGTGTTTTATATTTCTGCTTTGACTTTAGTTTTATGTTTTGTTTTTCCTCCCTTGTCTTGAGAGAAGAGAGGAGAGTTCTTTGAATAAATGGAAACGAGTTCCCGTGCTCCAAAGTTATTTAAGTCTGTGGTTCTCAGTGTGCAGGTTTTCAGCCCTCATAGCTCACACGTTACAGTGAGTACTAACTGAAGGAGTTAAAAAAAATTGATCCTTTTTGTTCGAGCATCACTTTTCTGTTTCTCTGTCAGGAGTTAAATAAGGATTTTATCTTCTTTTTTTGTAGGTAAATATATGTATGGTTAAGTAGATAGTTTTGTTTGACAATACTTTAAATTAATTAAAACTAGCAACACATTACATTCTGTTTTATTTACTTTAAAGAAGTGAGGAGTAGGGAGATGAAAGATTATGTTGTTTTTTTGATACTGAGACTGGACGAGTAGATCTCGGCAAACTGCCAACTTCAAAAGTAGCTCTTGATTCAAAAAAGGTTGAGCACCCCTCTATATATTCAAATTAAACTCAGTAATTAAAGTAGTTGCTGATCAGATGGAAGATCTGTGGTTTATTCAGCTTCTGTGTCCATGTAATCTTGAGACAGTAACATTTTTGCACAAGTTCCTGTCTCTGATGTACTCACGTTTGTGAAAGGCCACTGGTTTGAGAGTTCAAACAGAGTTAAAATGTGCTGAAAAAAAAAAGGTCATGTAAGAACAGGATATCTTACTTCTGTTTTATTTGTTCTTTAGCTAAGGCCAGGTTCAAGACCCATGGACCACATCTGTTTTGGTAGGCGGCACAGAACTTTAATTCATCATAGGACATACCTTCTGATTGGCCAGTCAACAAAGAGTTGTAAGTGTGAAGAGTGGAGAAGAGATTCAGTTCTTCATTGTGCTGCATTTGAAGCATGATGACTTCTGCCATCTTTGTTTTATGCTTGAATTGCTTGTTGGTGGGTAAGTTAGGTTTTTAATTTATTTTTGTTCAAGTTTGCTCTTTGTCTACAAATATTGCAAGATTTTTGCTGCATACATTAATTTTATTGTCTTTATTTTGCTTTGTGTCTGGATTTTGTCCTCAGCTCAAATGGCAACTGCAAAACAAACATTACATTTGGAGTCAGCTGATGTTGGGAAAATGGTGGCTTTGCAGTGTGTCTGTCAAGACGATGCAGCAGTGATGTTTTACTGGTATAAACAAATTCTAGGAAAGAGACCAGAGCTTATGTGCTCGTTTTACAAGCATCTCAATGAGGCCATCTTTCAGAATGAATTTAACCATTCACGGTTTTTGCTGGATACTGGGAACCAGAGGAACATTATACTGAAGATATCAGATTTGAGAATGTCAGACTCAGCTTCCTACTACTGCGTAAAGAGCAATTTAAATGAGTTTGAGTTTTGTGAGGGAACTTCAGTCAGTGTAAAAGGTTCAGGTTTAAACATCCAAACTCTGGTCCATCAGTCAGCATTTGGAACATTTCAGTCAGAAGTCTCCATGACTCTGAATTACAGAGTTCACACTTGGACCTGTGATGCAGAGCACAGTGTTTACTGGTTCAAAGATGCAGACGAATCTTATTCAGGACTCATTTACACCCACGGAGGCAGGAATGATCAGTGTGGGAGAAATCCTAACACACAGACAAACACCTGTGTGTACGATCTGCCAATCAATGTGTCAGAYGCTGGAACCCACTGTGCTGTTGCTTCATGTGGAGAAACACTATTTGGGAATTGGACCAAACAAGTCTCTAATGGTGAGTCTCTTTATTTGATGAATACTTCTCAGAATCTTTCAAGTCATTTGTAAAAATAACACTGATTTAAGCTGCACAAATATTTCCCATATAGTCTTTGTTGTCTCTCCAAACAGTTATTAATCCTGAAAGGCTTGTCTGAGTTGTGGTGCACATCATTGGTTTGTCCTTGATTTTATTCTGTTCTTCATTTATGTACTTTCTCGCAGCCATTTTATTCAGAAACATTGTGATTGTAATCATTTTTAAACAAATGACATCCAGCTATTCATATCTATAAGCCTTCCAATCCCATTAAATTTATTATTCCTACAGTTTTTCTTACATTTAATTCTGGATGATCCCAAATTTTCCCAAATTCAGTAATATGAAGCACAAAATTAGGCTTATTCTTTCTGTCTTAACGATCTGTCAGGTAGTCGGAGAAAATAAAAACTCCAAATTCATTATGAACTATATAAAAAATGTCAGCAATATTGCAATTTAGAGATTAAAAAAGCAAGACAGTTGTTTTTTTTTATCTCATATCATTAAACCAAAGAAAAACCCACACACATTTATACTGTACATAAACTCACTAACCCACAAATAATAGGTTCCCCAGAATTTAATTCTATAAAGTTGGGTAAAGATATTGCTCTCTTTTTAAACAAACAAACAAACAAACAAACAAACAAACAAACAAACAAACAAACAAACAAACAAACAAACAAACAAACAAACAAACAAACAAACAAACAAA